CAAGCAGAGGAGGAGGAAAAAAGAGAGGCCACCAGCAGCAGCTGAGGGAAGCAAGCGACAGGCACAGCAATCGCATGTAGCCGGTGGGGATGTATGTTTTGTCGTCGTAAGTCTGCGCGGGGTCGGAGGTGGCAGTACATCGTACCGCATGTTTCCATGCATTGTCTTCGAAAAAATCCAATTGGAGTAAGTGGGTGGACTTCGGGAGTGCAATAGCGCAGGGATGTAATATGTGAGTAAGAGACCTCCGCTTGGACAAAGGTATCGCTGCAAGTTTCCTTGCGGTGTTGCGTAGTTATATGCACTTCTCCGCGCAATCCCACTGCACCCTGATGTTCCACCATATCCGTAGTCCACCAGATAGTGCCGTGGATGGTGGGGAGTAGAGCAAAAGCTGACCACCATAGGCCAGCTCCGCTACCAAATTTGAAGGGGGCTGGAAGGCCCAGCCAACAGCTTCGCCTCAGGCGAAACCAAGCTCCCGCTCTGTTCTACCGTAGCAACGATAGTCCTTTTGGTCTCGATAGCAATAGGAAGCAATAGGAAGATCCTTTTGGTCTCGATAGCGGCTGTGTGCCTCGCAGTGAGGCGCAGTCAAAGTTGGGCGGCCGGCCGCTTGAGCCAACGCGGCCGCGGGCGCACGCTCGCTTCCACTCCTTACGTCCCTCAGCTCGCTTTAAAGTCAAGAGGCCCCAAAGAGGCCTCCAAGACGGCCCAAAAGGCGTCCAGGAGGTCTTCCAGGAGGGCCCGAAGAGGCCGAAATCATTACTTTTCCTTCGGTTTTGGACGATGTTGGCATTTGCTTCTTCTCGGGATTCCGACGGCTCAAGACGACCCAAGAGGCCCCCAAGATCGCCCACGACGCCTCCAAGATGGCCCCATGAAGGCCCGAAAGGCCTCCAAAACGGCCCAAGAGGCCTCGAAGACGCCCAAGATGGCCTGTAAGAACCCCTGATATGCCCCAAGAGGGCCCCAAGACGACCGAGACAGGCCCCCAAGACGGCTTCCGACGGCGTCAGACAAGCCAGGAACGCCCTAAGACGGCCAAAGAGGCCCCCCAAAACCCTCCAAGAGGCCCCCAGGAAGCTCCCAGGAGGCCCCAAGAGTGTCCCAAGAGGCGTCCAAGAGGCCTCCTCCACCTCCTCCTCCTCCTCCTCCTCCACCTCCTCCTCCTCCTCCTCCTCTTTCTTCCTCATCCTCCCCCTCCTCCTCTTCTTGCTCCCCCACGCGTTCCCCGAAGTGTTTCCAAACCGACTCGGGGAACAACTGGCCCGATAGCTTGGCCAAGCTCTCGGCCACAGAGGCGCTTCCAAAGGGGCAGGGGGCGGCGGTGATTCGCCGTAGGCGTCTTTGATAACGCCAACGTCTCAAGATGCGGTGATGATTCCCATCCGTGCCTGCATGAGGTTCCCAGATGCGCCAAGGTAGCGCCGAGACGCACCGACGAGACTCTGGCATATATCGCGCGCGCTTCGCGCGCGCTCAAGTTCTAGCTAGGCTTGATAGGCTAATTCATGTGATCTCATTGTGGTCGCTTCTTGCGTCCAAGGACTCTCTTGGAGGCCCTGCGCAAGCCTCGGAATCGTATAGAAGGGGAAGTGCCGAAACGCAGAAATCATTAATTTCCGTTTGGTATTTCAACGACTTGGGGCCCTCAAAGGCTTCCTTGGTTCTTGGAAAGTGGGGGGTCTGAATTGTTGTTTGTTGTGCAAGAATAGACCCGGGGCCAAACTTGGAACAAAAAAAGGAATTGTGGGATTCCCATGTTTGTTCCAATTCCTCGGCGCTGTTCGTCGCTGATTTTTGTTTGCCTCGCGGGTTTTGTTAGCCGGCCCCTGAGGGGTGTGGGATCTTCCGGACCCCCTGGGGGTTCTGGAGGCCTCCCGGAGGCCTGGAGAGCCTTGGAAAAGTGTCTCGGGCTGCGCGGGAGCGTGTTGGGCCGTTCTTTACGTTCTGGGGGCTCCTTGGGGTCGCCTTGGGCTGTCCTTGGGCGTCTTGGGGGCCCCCCGGGAAGCTGGGAGGCGCAGCACCGGCCAGATGTCAGGGGATGTGTGGGATCTCTGAGTAGGAGTTCACTTTGTAAAAAAAAAGAGGGCGCGGTACCTGGCGCCTCTTCGGCAATTTTTGGGGTTTCTTGGCCCGTCTTGGACACGTCCTGGGAATCTTTTGGGCGCTCTTGGGGCGGTCTTGGACCGTTGGAAGCTCGAAAACGCGAGAAGACCAAAAACATCGAAACAAAAACAAACAATATCGACGATTTTGACCTCTTCAGGCAGTCCTGGGACGCCTCTCGGACCTCTCTTGGGCTGGGGCCTTCTGGAGGCCTCCTGGAGGCCTGGACAACCGTCGGAAGGGTGTCTCGGGCTGCTTGGGAGCTTTTTGGGCCGTTCTTTACATTCTGAGGGCTCCTTGGGGTCGTCATGGGCTGTCCTTCGGCGTCTTGGGGTCTCCCTCCGGGAAGCTGGGAAGCACGGTACCGGCCAGATGTCAGGGGATGTGTGGGACCACCTTGTAGGCGTCCCACTTTGAAAAAAAAGGGAATTCCCAGAATTTGTTCCCCAAAATCCTCGATCTTCGAGGGTTGGAAGCGGGAAAACGTGAGAAGGCGAAAAACATTAGGAAATCATTGGAAATCTACGATTTGACCCTCTTTGGGCTCTCTCGGTGTTCTTGGAGCCTCGTCGGGGTCATTTTGGGGCCTCTCAAGGATCGGAGGTGTTGGGGGCCTCTGGGGGATCCTGGAGGTCTCTCGGAGGTCTCTGGAAGCCTCCTGCTCCCGCTCTTGGGCCCATCTTGGGCCTGTTCTGGGGTGGTCTGGTGCTGTCCTGGGCGCCTCTTTGGCAGTCTTGGAGCCTTCTTGGCCCGTCTTGGGGCCATCATGAAGGTCTCCTGGGAGGTCTTGGGGCGGTCTTGGGAGCCTCTTCGGCGCTCTTGGACTGTTGGAAGCTCGAAAACGCAAGAAGCCAAAAACAGTTAAAACAACAAATTATAATGTACGATGTTGGCCTCTTCGGGCCGTCCCGGGACGCCTCTCGGACCTCTCTTGGGGTCTCTTAGGAGGTAAACTGGGACCCTCGAGAGCCGTCGGAAGGCTGACTTGGGCTGCTTGGAAGCGTCTGGGACTATCCTTTCGCATTCTGGGCGCTCCTGGGAGTCGTCTTGGGCCCTCCTGGAGCGCTGTGGAGGCTCCCCGGAACGCCCCGGGGAGCGGTGCCGGGAGCATCCCCCAGATGTGGCAAGGAGGTGTGGCACTCGGGGCTGGGGGGGGCGGTACTTATTGGTTTGTGTGTACATATATATATATATATACATATACACACACGTGTATGTACAGAGCTATATATATATAGAGAGAGAGAGAGAGAGAGAGAGAGAGAGAGAGAGAAAAAAATAAATAAATAAAAAAAAAAAAAAAAAAAAAAAAAAAAAAAAAAAAAAAAAAAAAAAAAAAAAAAAAAAAAAAAAAAAAAAATCGCGCGCGCTTCGCGCGCGCTCAAGTTCTAGCTAGGCTGGACGGTCGCACTCTTAGGGCTTCCTGTTGGGCTTCTGGGAGCCCAGAGCCGGAAATGTTCGTTCGGCCCCCGCCTGGACCGCCGAGCTCGTGGGGGCCTCTTTCCGGCCTTCTGGATGCTGCTTGAAGCCGCTTGGGGGCCTCTTGGGGGCCTCTTGGGCTCTCTTGGGGGCCTCTTGGGGCCTACTCGGAGCATCCTGGACTGTTTCTTGAAGTCGTCATGGGACCTTCTTGGCATGTCTTCGGGGGCCTCTTAGAAATAGTTTTGAATCCTTTGGGGTGCCGTCTTGGGGCCTCTTAGAGCCTCTTTTGGTCTTCTTGGGGGCCTCTTGGGGCCTCTTGGGGGCCTCTTGGAACTTCCCGGGGCCTCTTGGGGACTTCCTGGGGGCATCTTGGGGCGGAGAGCTTGATTTGTCAGTTCGCGTTCCCTCTCTTGGGCCCCTCTTGGGGCCTTCTTGGGACCCTCTTGCGTCGTCTTGGGCGGCTCTGGGGCCGTCGCGGGGCTCTCTTGGGCCGTCGAAGGGCCCTCTTGGGGGCCTCTTGGGCCGTCTTGGAGCGGTTTTGGGAGCCTCTTGGGCGGTGCTCTAGCGCTGGAAACAAAAACAGCGAGAATGCAAAAAAAAAAAAAAGAAGGAAAACCATGAAAATGAACGATTTTGCCCTCGGGGCGCTCTTGGGCGGCATCTTAAAAGCCTCTCGGGGCGTCTTGGTGGCCTCCGGGTCAGTGTAAAATATATCGTGCGTCGTCAGACTCCTGGACGGCGTCTTGGGGGTGTCTCGACACCGTCTGGTGCCGCCGGGATTGCTGTCTGAGGGCTCCTCGGGGCCTCCCAGAAGCGGGCCGGCGCGCCGGGCCCCACATTTGCGGTCGTGGTCCTGGCCCTGGGGCCTCTTGGGGGCCCCTTGGGCTGTTTTCGAGCGTCGGGAACCCGAGAAGGCGAGATGACCAAACAAATTCGAACATCTACGGAAAATAAGCAGTTTTTGGCTCTCAAGGCTCTCTCAGGGGTCCTCGTGGGGCCTTCTTGCGGCGTCTGAGTGGCCCCTTGGAGGCCTCTTGGGCTTCTTCGGGGCCTCTTGGGGCCTCCCGGGCGCCTCTTTTGGCGGAGAGCTCGAATTGTCGGCTGGATTTCCAAATCTTGGGCTTCTCTTGGGCGCCTTTGGGGCCCGTCTTGGTCGCATTTTGGGCCGTCCTGGTGTTTTTTGGGCCGTCTTGGGGCCCTCGGGGGCGCCTCTTGGGCCGTCTTGGGGCGGTCTTGGGGACCTCTGATGTCGTCAAGAACGGTACGACAGCGAAAACAAGCAATATGTTAAAAATGTAATCTTGCGAAAGGAATGGGGCTATTTTTGCCTCTTGGGGGCGTCATGGGGGGCCCCTCGGGGGCTTCTTAGAGCGTCTGCGAAGCCTTTGGAAGTGTCTTGGGGGCCATCTTGGGCATCTTGGAGCAGCCTTTGGGTGTCTGGGGTCCGTTGTTTTTTCGTTTTTTTTTTCTCTTTTCACTGGTGGTCGGTCAAACGGCACCGCGCCAGGCGGTCTGCACTTTAATTGTACGGGGGCCCTGGAGGAGCCTCCGATCCCGGACTTGGTCGCCAATACACGGGCGGGAAGCTGCAACCATACCGTTGGCCAAGCGCACAGTGGCAATGGCGTCCCCGAGGTAGTGCTGTAGGGGAAGAACGGACACACGTGTGGGGGTTCGGACTGACGCTCAGAACAAATTGGTCTTCTTCATAATTCGGAGGAGCTCCTCCTCATTCACCCCCCCGCCCCCGTCCCGGTCGGCCTCGTCGATCATCTCTTGCAGCTCCTCATCTGTCATCCGCTCGCCCAGCTCCTTCGCCACGCGTTCCAGATTTTTGAAAGATATCTTGCCAGTCTCATCATCATCGAAGAGCCTGAAAGCTTTCAATATCTCACCCTTCGGGTCACGGTTCAAAATCTTGTGCGTCATCATCTTAAAGAATTCCTCGTATCCGATGGTTCCGCTTCCGTCGTCGTCTACGTCGGAGATCATATTCTGAAGTTCCCCCTTCTTCGGCTCGAAACCGAGGGCTCGCATGGCCACTTTCAGCTCCTTAGAGTCAATCTCACCCGAGCCGTCCGTGTCAAACAGATCGAACGCCTCCTTGATATCCTGTTTCTGCTCCTCGTGCGAGACTCGCGAACACCCATGGGGCGAGTCTCGATACCACCACAGCGCCATGCAACAATTTCCCACAATAGCCACCCTGGAGTACTTGAGGCCCACAGGCCAAGTAGGCGGAGCCCCCGCCAGGATAGCAGCAAAACTTGTCGAGAGGCTGGCATCTGCGAACAAAACTGGTGGCCCACGGATGGGCCTGGGCTCGGGGCCCCGCTGCCCCCGAAGGGGCCTGGGGCCAGACTGCTCAGCGCTTGGCAACTTTACGGCGCCTCGGCTTGGGCTCCTCCTCTGCCTCGTCGTTGGCACTCCTCTTGAACTCCAGCAGCCGCTTGAGCAGCGGCCCGTCGAGGGCGCGCTGGGCAGCGATGAAGAAATCCTCGCACTTGATGCTGTAGCACGCCCGCGGGGCGCGGATGAAGTCGGGTGCCTTTTCCTCCTGCAGCATGAAGGCCCACGCCCAAGGACGCCCGGCCTTCCACGCAGGACGCCGTGGCTTGGCACGAAACAGCTGGGTGCCCAGCTCGGCCACACTGATCTCCAACAGGTACTTGACAACTTTGGCGTCGCCCTCGGACAGCTTGCCCTGCAGAGCTCGGTCGAGCTGCTCGAGCATAGCCTTGAACAGGACAGAGCGGAGGCCTCCGCCCAGGCTGCGAGGAGTGAGCTTGGCGCCGTGCATGTCCGACTCCTTAGCCTGGTCGATGCCGGATCTGCGCTCCTTGTCCTCTGTCTTCCATAAGGTGCGCAACTGGTCGGGCACTTTCTTGGCATCATCCTTTTTGACCACGCACGCGCAGGAAGCTCTGCCCTCAAGAGTGGCAACACGGCGATCGAGAGACGCAACAATAGGAATGAGCTTGTTAACGACGGTCTCTGTCGATGCATCCTTCGGCGGGGACCCGGCGCCACGAGCTTCCTTCGGGACCTCCGAACCAGCGGCCGCTCCTCCATCGGCGGCCTTTGTCCGAAGGACCTCGAGCATACCGCATCGCACTTGCAACGCACCACGAGAGGCCCACTGCTGAGCCAAACTATCATACGGGGAGGTTGCTCTGAATACGTCTGTTCTTGCATAAGTTGAAGTGCTTGGCGAAATGACATTGATCGGGGAATTTGATATTGCAGCACTTGCACTGAAAGATCCAGGAGGCGATCTGTTCGGGGGTGCGTTTCTTGTCGCGTGATTTGATACGCTGCTGAACACCTTTCAACAACACTTCCCATGGGGCTTTCGCGCAATCGTATATGTGATTTGCATAGCTCGCTAATTGCCCACAGTATCTGCACGTAAAAGTATGCCCAGTTCTGCTTGCTGTCTTTCGAGGGGGCCGTTTTGCTTTGGCTTGTGCTTGCTGGAGTTCGCGGCGATTCTTGACGGGGAGAGGCGGGCGGGCCTCTTGGATCAGAACCGGGGCTGCAGGAACGTGAGGAGGGGGATATGCCGTCGAAGCCGATTTCGAACGCATCCGAGTCCTCCCCGGGGCCTCCACCACCTGCTTTCCTCGAAGACGACGCCGAATAACCGATGCTGGGGAAGGAAGCGGGACAGGAGCAGCAGCAGGGGGCCGTAGAGATACCACCCCTCGACATCTGCCAACATGGGAATCGCACGAAGCTCGACGCACCAAGGATCCACATTTTGCGCAGGCCAAGGCGTTGCATATGAATCGCTGACGGTCTGGGCGCAACGTACCAGTGCAGAAACGTACGTGCTTGAGATATCCGTGGCACTGAATGTAGTCCTGGCACTTCGGACAAACTCGCGAAGCACCTGCATGCGCTGTGCCCACTTCTGGGGCCTGTGCTGCGAGAGATGGCCTCTCCTCGGGCGGGCGGTCGGCTTCTGGCGGCCGTCGCTTCACCAAGTCGCAAAGCTTCCTGCACTGCTGGCCATTCTCTTCGCGAGTCAAGGCGAGTCAAGTGAAACCATTCTTTGTGCCGCGGAGGCTCTGGCTTGGAGCTGAACTTCATCAGTAACTGAATTTGTTGCCAATACCAGCTGCGTAATGTTATGCGTCTGCTGTCGGGTGCGAATGTCCCTGGACCATCTCTGAGTTCGGCCCCAAGCGCTCCTACTTCCCACCGCTCCCGAGAGTACCTCCCGAGATGGCCTAGGTGCGAAGGGGCTGCGATGACGATCTGGGTCTCGATGAGGTCCAGGCCGAACCACCCCAAAACTACATCCATGGTAATGTGTTCTTCTTCCATAATACGAAGGGTGGCTCCGCGAGCTCGGTGTGCCAAATATCGAATGCATCGGCCTGCGAATGTTTGGTATCGATCGATGTCTTTCTGATGGGAAGCTCGGACCTCGGCCCCATAGAATACACACCCAATTACTGACGCCTTGAATATTTGGCCCCGGCTTTTGAGAGGTAGTTTGGACGCCCCAAGCTGATGTCGTAAATTCACCCAAACCCTGGATGCGGCTTGCATCCGTTTCGATGTGTCTGTCCTCGATCCCCCATCCGCATCCACCCACCCACCTAGTACTCGAACAGAGTGGTGCAAGCCAGCTGGGAGGGACTGTGAAACGTCGTAAGCACCTGCTCTCATGCACTCGCCCTTTCCAGGATGGACCCTCTCGCCTCGGTCCCCGAGTACTTTCCCAACTAGGCCCACCGCCCCCTGAAACTGCGACATGGCGGGCCACGCGGAGGCATCGTCGGCGAAGCCCATGACTTTGAAGTCCACTGAAGTCGTGGCCTCGTCGTTTCGCCAGTTGGCCCCACGGCCAAGCGAGCACCGAAGAGACGGAGCCAATTTGACGCCTATGCCCGGCAAGACCTCCTTCAAAACACGCAAGGAACAGTTGTGATAACAATTGGAAAGCGTGCAAGAGCTGGCGCATCCTTCCCTCAAACCACGGCATGAAAGCTATGGGTCCGACTCCCCGAAACGCAACCTCACTTGGTAGCTCGTCTCGCCGCGCAGTCGCCTGAAGATCGATGCAATATTCTGCGGGGGCCCCTCCTTCAGCAAGGCGCGCCAACGAGGCTCTCTGGGGGTAGTCGGATACGCTTTCTGGACGCCTGCAAAATACAAAGCTGCTTGGCTGCTCTGAAACTACTGATAAGATGCTGTCCAGGCGGCCTGGCGTTTGCCCCAAGTACCCGCACTTTGGTACTTGGAACGCTGGACTAATAGAAATCTCTCCCAATCGGCAGACAATTCGCATATAATACGTGTGATATAAATAACATCTCTGGTAGATCGCCCGCGCCTGAAGCCCCGCTGCTCTTTCTCGAAGAAGGACGGACCCTCGAAGTACTTCTCTACTCGCCTGACGGCCAGACGAGCCAAACTACGCGTGATCATACTGAGCAAGCATATTCCTCGATAATTGTTCAGGTCTGTCCTCGCCCCTTTTTTCTTGCACAGCATGAGAACAATCGCTTCGCGTGCAGAGATATCCCAGTGAGGCTGGGGTCCGTCTAGGTTCGCCTCCGACCACATCCTGCAGATCAGATCGTAGACGGCCCTCTGCTCCTCGACTGGAGCCTGTCTGATCATGTCGATTGGGACCTCGTCTTTGCCTGCCGCTGAAATCCTCATACCTGTGATTGTGATCAGGAGCTCCTCGAAGGTCGGACTGTCGTCCAAGGATGCGCACACAGGCCTCTGGGTCAGCTCGCTGGAGACATCGACTGTCGGGAACGCAATCGCGCCACTGATCCTCTGAAAATGTTCGCGGCAGTCGTCTGGTTTGACTTGCCCCACATCTTTGATCCAATCGTAACTGATTTAAACGCCAAGCTCTCGCAACAAACAATAATACTGTCCCATCGTGGTTGGTCACCGCCCACTCGAGCTGCCGGCGCAAACTGGAGATAGCTTCGCCCTTGAGGTCGCGCTCGAACTGCCGCTCTATCTTCTTCGTGACCCGATAGTTCGCGAGCGCTTGGGGCTCGGCGGGGGTGCCTCGCGCCGAGCAGTACTCCGCGTAACTGTCGGCGACTCTCTGCTTGCTCTTGAGCACATCTGGTTTGCACTCCGCGAGCACCGGTACGCCACGTTGCCTCTGACCGCGGCCACACGCCGCCCCCGCTGCTGCGAGAGGGATACTCGACACGTCTCGCCAGGCCGCCCCCGTCATGGCGTTCGCCCTTCCGCCGACGAGGTGCTGGCGGTACTTCTTCCGAAGCTCCACAGCTACGTCTCCAGCACCTCGGGCCTGAGACCAAAGAACTGGGTGACGGGGGACAGCTCGGCTCGGATCTCTGACATGCTGAAGCTCCTGCTTCGTCATGCGCCCAAAAGGTACGAATGATCCAAATTTGCCTCGGTGGTCGCACAGGGCGAACGAGACCGTCTTCAAGTTCCGCCATCTGGACGGCGTGCCAAAAGAAGAAACACATCGAGCTCGTGCCATGTCTTCGCGACATTGTGATAGAATGTACCCCGTTTGGCCAGAGGTAACCTCGAGTCCACGTGGAATAAGCCCTGCTCGTCGCCGAACTCTTGCAGCTGGTGGCTCATCCTCGACGTGGCGGCACGGTTGGTATATTTGCCAAGAAACCCGCACGATCTGTCCTCCTGGCCCATGTGTGAGTTGAAATCGCCTCTCATGATAAAGTGATCTCCCGATCGACGAAGTCGGCTGATCAGTAAACTGCCATCCTGGAAATGTTTGGCTCTGCGATTTAGACCCCAAGCTGGATTCTGTTGTGGCGTATACTGCACAATAATCACATAGTAGAAACCACGCATACAGATTCTCAAACCTATCCACCTGCCCGAATCTGGTATGACACAGAGCTCGGAACCCGCAGCACGCCAATTCTCCACCATATACCTGGACATAATGATCCCAACTTTGCCACATACAAACATGGTATATTCTTCCACTGCAACAATAACTGGCTGGGGGGTATCTTGATACAGCCAACTTGGATTCGTCAACTCGCTGATAAGAAGAACATGACACTTCTCTGACCTGAGATTCTCAAGTATATGCGCCAGCTTGGATCTGGCCTCCGACGTGCCCCACGACATTCCATTGGCATTGAGGGCGCCAATCCTGATATGCTGGGGGTTCGTCGGCGTGTTGCAAGTGTGCCACTTGCGCCGCAGTCTCAGGGCTCTCCCTCGGGATACTGGGGAAACCCATGGAGGCCTGCATGCGGCATCGGCTGGCTGAGGTATACATCCATGCTCGCCAGACACATGGATACGGTATGCTGTACACGAAGTGAGAGTGGTAGGACCGTTGGCCGTGCTCGCTTGTGCCGAACGCCTCCGCGGATTCTGATCTGTACCATGAGATTCCATGATCGGAAAAGATCCAGCACGTCAACAGCGTGAGCACACCCTTGCGCACCATCGGGGGGTGGTCCTAGCACAAGAGTTTTTGCTCCTCAGACAATCCCTATTGCTTCTTGCCACCCGCGTTGAAGCGACGCAGAGCCATTGCGAGGACGCGGGAGGTGGTGAGCTGCGGGCCGACGGGTAGATTTGCGAGCGCTCGTGACAGCCCGAACCAGGATGACTTGAGCCAAAATGGCTACGGAGGGTGTCTTGGGTCCGTCTTGGGGCGTCTTCGGGTTCTCTTGGCGCGTTCCCGGGGCGTATTGAGGGCCTCAGGGACGCCCCAAGAGCCTGGGCACACACACATTTGTGGTCGTGGTCGCGGCCCCGGGCCCCCGGACCCGGTGCGCCGTTATGTATATGAATATAGCATTATGATAGAGAGGGGGCCGGCGGCAGGGGGCGAAGCCCTTACGGACCCCTTAAGCCCTTATGATATCGTATTTTACGAGATCCCCCCCTGAATTTAACGGTCCCCCTTCGCGCGTTGCAATTTACATACGATTCTGCCCCATCGTCCATCCTAAGAACTCGTACCATCCCAGGCACACCGGCATCGCCACCCCTTCATCCTCTGCAACATATCAGTCAGCGTTGACTCCAAATAGATAGATGGACAGGAGAAGAGCGAGAGAAGAAGAAGACGAGGGAAGCACGGGAGGAGAGGAAGCCAAGGATGAAATGGCAAGCAAAAAGAAGCGAGCAGCCACTGGAATCCTAGCTCAGGATCCAAAGGACTCCATACACATAGGCATTGGCATAGGCATTGGCATTTGGGCATTGGCATTGGCATAGGAATACGTAGGACTCATAGGAAGGAATCCATAGGAATCCATAGGACTCGCCATCGGAAATAGCTGGGGGGGGGCATTGGGAATTAGGGAGGGTGACGTTGGCAAAAGGGGGGGAGGGGGGGGCCATTGGAAATAAGGAGAGGTGTCATTGGAAAAAGGAAGGGGTGCTAAAGACCAATTACTTATGATGAGCTAGGACTCATATAGGGTAAGCCTATTTGGAGAATTATCCTGGCGAGGGACCCCACCATGTGCAATTGTGAGTAACGCAATTGTGGGTATCGTCCTCGGTGGAACTTTCTCTGGGGCCACGACGCGTATGACGAGTGTGCCAAAATTGGCATATACGCCATGCGGACGCTGCCACCGGAGCCGTCGGTGGAGCCCCATGTGAGGCCACCAAACCTGTGAGGGGTGCGCCGAAATGCAGGGTGGAATTGCATGCGGACCTTGCCACTGGGGCCTTCGGCGGAGCACCCTTTGGGGCCACGAAACGTGTGGGGTGCGCCGAAATGGAGGTGGAACTGCAGTCGGACGCTGTAACCGCAGCCGTCGGTGGAGCTCAAATGTGGCCACGAAACGTGTGAGGGGTGCGCCGAAATGAATGGGGAACTCTATGCGGACCCTGCCACTGGGGCCTTCGGTGGAGCTCCCAATGGGGCCACGAAACGTATGAGGGGTGCGCCGACATTGTAGGTGGAACGGTTTGCGGACACTGCCACGAAGGCCCTGGATGGAACACCCTATGTGGCCACGAAACGTGTGAGGGGTGCGCTGAAATAGAAGTGGAACGGCATGCGGACCCTGTCACTGGGGCCTTCGGTGGAGTTCCCTGTGGCCACAAAACGTGCGAGGGGTGCGCCGACATGAATGCGGAAGTGTATGCGGACCCTGCCACTGGGGCCTTCGGTGGAGCACCCTATGGGGCCACGAGACGTGTGAGGGGTGCGCCGACATGGAAGTGTGGAACTGCAGGCGGACCCTGCCACTGGGGCCTTCGGTGGGGTTCCCTATGACGCCACGAAACGTGTGAGGGGTGCGCCAAAATTCAAGTGGAACTGCATGCGGACCCTGCCACAGGGGCCTTCGGTGGACCACCGTATGTGGCCATGAAACGTGTGACGGGTGGGCCGAGATGAATGCGGAACTCTACGCGGACCCTGCCACTGGGGCCTTCGGTGGAGCTCCCTATGGGGCCACAAAACGTACGAGGGGTGTGCCGACATGTGGGTGGGAAGGAGGGGGGAGCGGGAGGAGGGGGAAGGAGGAATGGGAGGAAGAGGAACGGGAGCACGGGGCGCTCGCTGTCTCTGCAAAACGAAGACCCAACACCACAAAATGGCTGGGAAAAAAGCACGATGCACGCGCAAACGTCGATCAAACATCGCTGGTTTTCAAAACAAGCCCTCGCCACAAAAATGCACACACGCGCGTCGTCGCGCGCGCATGCCCAAACCCTTAACAAACCACAGGTTCCACAAGGAATTCAAAATCGGCAGCACCGAAAAATGCTTCGCGCCAGGGAATGGCAAACAAAGCCTGCGCTCGCGTTGTGGCAGATTCTTTAAAAAGGAATATGTTCCCGACAACTTCATCACATGCTACCAAACGTGCCCCTCGCGCGTTTATGTCGGAATCGTTCGAACGCCTTTGCGCGCACGTTGTCGCAAAAGTCCATCGCAACAAACATGAACGGAATACACACGCGCGCGTCGTCGCGTGCGCATGCCGAAATCCGTCAGAAACCTTAGGGTTCGCATGGGTTCCAAAATCGGCTGCCCCGAAAACATCTAGAAACACAAAGTGCTGCAACATCAGATTTCAAAAATGAATGCGTTCGCGCTCCTGCGACGATTTAAGCAAACCAAAAGTGCTTTGCACCATATCCACTGAATTTGGTCAAATGGATTTCTCGCGACGCATGACGGAATCATTCGAACGCCCTTGCGCGCGAGTTGGGAGGGGCACGACCCGTGCCAAATAACTCTACGCGCGCATGTCGACCTCCTTCCGAAACGTCCATCACCGACGCGAGGGCGCCGTCATCATCGTTGGCGTGATCGGCACCGGCGCCGTAGATGGCCTCGTCACCGTCACTGTCATCATGTTACCAACATCGATAGTACTATCATCTTGTCTCCCATTGTCGACGTTGCCGTGATGCCGTGCCTGCCAAAATCGCCCACTCGCATTGCGATGCCCGCTGGGAAGTCCCCAGAGGTCAGCTCCACCACGGCCGCGCTGGTCGCGACAAACAAGCTGGCCGCTTTGCGCGCGAGCACGCGCAGGCTCGCGCGGCCGCAGAGACGCACCTGCCAATGCCAAGCACTCATCGCAACCGCCGCCGCCTGCGTTGCGCATGCCAAGTTGCGGGCGGGCGGGCGGAGTGGTGGCGCGAGCAATGGAGTTGCCGATGCCGATGCGGATGCGGATGCGGATGCAGCGCCGCGGGGGCCACCCACGCCCAGGCCCCTCGAGGGCGGTCGGGTTCGCTGAGACACACGTGTGACATGGGCACTCCAGGAGGCACGTGCGATGTGAAACAACATGATGGGCAAGTGCACAAACATGCAAGGAGAGAGGGAGAAGAGAAGCTAGGCTGCCATCCTGGCGGCAACTGCGCTGTGAAAATTTGGCCGCACAGCGAGGCAAGGAAGGGGGGAAGCGAGACATGGCCATCAGTCCGTGTAGCGCTTGCAGGGGTGACGTGTAATTCATCGGGCGCCCGCGCGAATCCAATATAGAAGAGATGTCGACCATCGCCCATCTGTGCGATTGAGCGTCTTTTCTATCAGCGCCACCTTCTGGCTGCGTTGTTGGCCCACCCAACTCTGGCGCCCAGCTCGCCGGAATATTTGTACTGCCCGATGGGTCGCGCGCACCATCCAATCGAAGTACGGTTCTGGCTCAATGGTCATGTCCGCCAACTCGCGGTGCATCCTCTGCGTCGGAAAAATCATCCGCATCATCTGTCTCTTTGCAATCTGGAGCCGATGGGCTCTCTCCGCCGTCATCGCCCAACGTCCGCCGCCGTAATTACAGGACGGCTGGTGTGACCACCGCACTGAGTAGACGCATTCGGTATCTCGCGGCGGTTCGTCAGCTCGTGCTTGCATTTGCCAAATGCTGCCCAACCCGTGGAAATTCGACGTTGTAGTTCGGCTCCGTGAATGTCAGACACGGATATCAATCTACCGAGGTACGCTGTGCCCCCATCGCAAGGCAATACATCAATCAAGCCCTCGCCCACTTGAACACCGCTTTGGCGCAGGACGCCCCTCCGGACTTCAATGTTCGCCCTGGCAGACACGCCCTCGCCTGCTCCCTACGAGTCCCTCTCGCCGTGCCAGGGCAAGCCGTAAGACGACAGAAGGGAAAGGAGGAGAAGGAGGGGGGCGACCTGAGGCCCACAGGGGACGTGTCAAGCCCCCCTGCCTCAGGCTCAGCTCAGACGCCGCCCTGTTCCTATTCCCTCCAGCCCCCTTACGTCGTCAAAAGCGTGCCCAACCTCATCTGGGCAAGTACCCAACGACTTGGGTATGCGCCAGGAGGAGACGCCCCTCCCAAGGGAAGCGGCCAGGAGGAAGTCGGCGACGACAGCGACGACGAAGACGAGAGCGGCGGTGACGACGACGGCGACGACGACGACAAAAGAGAGGAGAGGAGAGAGGCGCAATTTTCCAGAAAGGGAAAAGGGGGAGCGAATTGGCGCCGCGCGCACGCGCCCCTAATCCCGCGGCCGGCGCCGCGCCCGACGCTCCAGGAGCGTCGGGCGCCGCTCGGGACGCTTCGGCGGCCGCCTCCTCCTCCTCCTCCTCTTTTTCAGCCTTCTCCTCTTGATCGTACTCCTCGTCTTCCACCTCCTTCTCCTCTCACTACTGATTGGCCACATGACTGGCGGTCCCCGGGCGGCAGTAGGATTACTCTGTAGAACATCACTCCAGAATCTTCACTTTGGCACGTGGACGGGCGATGTTGATGCCAATCCTAAGCTAGGGGCGGTGTTTGAGCGGGCCCCATCCCCACGGACCGAGCGCCAGGGCACCGAGCGCGTACGACGGGGAGGCGCCGTAGATCAGAGAGACGTACGCGAACCTGACCGAGTTGGGAAGCCCTCCGTGCCTCCTAGTTCCAACCCTCCAGTGGCGTGCACACATCAGATACCCCTTCCTCCTCCATCCCCCCCACCATCCTTCGCCATCCCCTCGCCCACTGAAGCTCCAGGGTGGCGCCCCTGGACACCTCGGGTTTCGCTCTTCCAACTGTTTCGACCATCGATACCACCACAGTATCCAGCAAAGCTGCGACTATGCCTCTGCAACAGCAGGGTGCGCATGCCACGGAGTACATATTCGACGCGGCTTCGCGTTTCCTGTTCTCTTGCCTCGCCCGAGTCCTCTTCAGGACTGCTCTCTCCTCCCACCCCGAAAGAGGGACGCGAAGCAGCAGGAGCAGGGGCAAGAGGGCCCCTGGAGCAGGGAGGAGCAGCAGCAGGAGCAAATGCAGGAGCAGGAACGGAAGAGCAGGAGAAGGATGAAGATGGACGAGAGGGCGACGACGACGACGACGACGACCACGACGACCATGACGACGACGACGACGACGACGACGACGACCACGACGACTCGCTGAGAGTTCATCTGAGCGTTCTCTGGCACCCCTCCTCGGGAGCTAGTGGGCGTTTGCTCAGATGCTGGGGGTGGTGCGCCTTTCTAGGTAGGGCGGAATGAGGTGCGGTTGATCCGACTGTAGAGGATGCGCTCGGTATTGCTCCTCGTGGGCTTGAGCCAGTGCAAGGCGCTAGCCTTGGGCGTACCATTGGACGGGGGGGTAAGGAGCCCTCCACCCTCCCCAGTCCCTCCCGTTCCTCTCCCTCCTTCTCCTCTTTCCTCCTCCTTCCTCCCATCATTACTTCACTACGTCATTCATTCTCCCCCCAACGTACCTACCAAGCTACCCACCTGCCCCCTACTCCTCGACCTCCTCCATCCTCCACGCTCTGCCCATCCTCCTCCTCCTCGTCCTCCTCCTCCTCCTCCTCCTCGTCTTCCTCCTCCTCCTCCTCCTCCTCCTCCTGACACCCGATTCCCTCCACCTCCTCGTTCCTTCCCACTCCTTTTCCCTCCCGCCCTTCTTCTCTCAGGGACGAAACGAAGGGGCAGTAAAGGGAGGTTAGCGAATCTCAACTCACGTAGCTTGGTTTCCCAGCGCTTCCCGGCGCCAGGGGCGCCGATGTATGGAGGAAAGCGCCCGGCGGCGAGCCGAGACCAGCTGTTTGCAGCAGAATTCGTACCCCTGCTATCCGTGTCCCCCCGTTTCGTCCGACCAGATTATCCCCCGAAGGCCACACGCTAATGAGCCCCCCCCCCTTTCTTCACCCTCCCCAGGCCCCCCCCCCTCCTCCTCCTGACCCTTCCCCCTGAAGAGAAGAGGTTGGGAGGAGGAGCCTTTTCCCCCCCACCCCACCCCCCGCGATCTCGCCCCCCCCCCATTCAGCGGACCTCTCCTGGAGCGCGTTCTGACGAGGATCGCGAGGCGATTCCAACAGTGGCAACGAGGTACGGGAAGCGTTATCGGTATCGTTACCTCCCCCGAACCCCGACCCGAGTCCCCCTCGAAGGCCGCACGCCCAATGACCTTCCCCCCCCCGGCGCCGCCTCTGATCGGAGGCGAGGCGCCCGCCGCCACGGCAACCTCTGCAGCGGAAGCCCCCGCTGCTCGAGGACCCACCACCAGGCGCTCCTGCGGCGGCTGGGCCCGGCGGAAGGGAGGGGTGGCGGGAGAGCCCCGCCTTGCGCGCGAGAAGCTCTCCGTATTCCCCCTCCCTCCTTGTTCCCCCTCCCTCCTCCTCCTTCCCCCTCCTCCCTTCTCCCCTACCCCTTTTCCACATGAGTAACTCCGCCTTGTCGCACCCCTGGACGAGTCGGTGGGGCGGGCTGGGCGTTACGATGGTTTTCAAAATGTGGTTACCGCCCTAGCGCCGCACCCATTCGCCTGAAATGTGCGTAACATGAAACGCGGCTCGCAACATCGTTGAAGAGTCGTGGACTCGCCCTTGTCATCCTCCTCCCCCCTCCTCCTCCACGTTTTCGACCCGATCCCTCCCTCGACCCCCCCTCATCATCCTCTTTCTCCTTCTCTTTCAATGCCTTCGATGCAACGCGGAAAGGCCGGCCAGTGGCCAAACAGTCGCGCCCACTCCTCCAAGAAGAGGCCAACAAATATACACGACGAAGCAATCACGGCACCCACAACCAAACGGAAGCCAACGACTAACGAACCAGGGTGTGCTGTCTTGTACTCCAAGACCGCAGATAGTGGGCCGCATACAACAAAGTCTATCGGAACAAACTGGCTCAGAGCGAGCAGCCCACCCACCCACCGAAGGGCACTACAACTTCCGGGAGGGGGAGCCACGCAGGGCCGCAGTCCCCGCGACGGAATGGCGTGGAAGCGCAACATCAATGACGACAACGACGACTGATGCCCCCAGCCCTTTTTCATTGGAATGCTGCTGAGGGTTCGCATTTGGGAGGGGCCCCGAAGGAGCACGTGCTACCTTCCCCCGTGCCCCTGCCTGAAAGCTTTGGGAATTGGGCGGGTGGATTTTTCGAGACAGAGCGGGGATGCCTAAAGCCACAATGGTCACGGATCCCGCGCGCGGTGCACTCTCTGTCACTCACACCCGCCCTGCCCCCCAAGCGCTCTGCCGCCTGCTTTGTTAACTACGCACGCGTGTTCCGACCAACAAGCTGGCTCAGAGCGAGCAGCCCACCCACCCACCGAAGGACACTACAACTTCCGGGGGGAAAGGAGCCACGCAGTGCCACAGTCGCCGCGACGGAAAGGCGCGGAAGCGCAACATCAATGACGACAACGACGATTGATGCCCCTCCAGCCCTTTTTCATAGGAGTGCTGCTGAAGGTTCGCTTTTGGGAGGGGTCCCGCAGGAGCACGTGCTACCTTCCCCCCTGCCCATCTTGGGGCACCTCCGAGCCGCTAGAGTAAGCGCAGCCTTTGGTCCCACCAGTAATGCTTCCCTTGGGGGGAACATTTGCTGCAAATGAGAGCGCGAGTTTTCGGCATTTCCGAAAGTTGTGTAAATTCGTAGCACAAACCAAATTGCCAGCCGCAAACCGCGCGCCAGCACACTAGTTGCCAGCCAGGCTGGAACCAAGAGCGGTGGACGACGCCAGAAATCTCGTTTCTGGTGACTCGCATTTGGAATGTGCTATCTATACCATGCTGAGCGGCGGCCAGCTGCACTTTGTCCTCGAGCGCCGCGCGGGCCCAGGATGGAGATGGCAGTGCAACTGAACGCAGTGCCGACAGACCTTTCTGTAGCTTCGAAAGCTTTGAAGCCAAGTCGCTTTGCGCAAGCTGTGCTTTGCATGAGGCTGTCGGGCTCTCAAGGGGAGCCTCCCCGACATATCGAAAGATGATGTCGGACTCCCACCTGGCCAGGACTTGGAGGGTCAGAAGATCCACCCCAGTACTGGCCAGATGCCGAGCACCTGATGCCGAGCACCTGTCACACGAAGAATATGGCCCCCGCAACAGTGCGAGCCACATTCTGTAACAAGCCGTTCACCCGTGAGCTCAGCTACGGCCTCGATCGTAGCAACGACGGCCGCCTTCGAAACGCGCTGTCCACCGATGCCTGGAAAAAGCGGCATCGTGGAAGGACACGTGCCATCATCGCAGCCAAAATGCGATGCGAGCAGGGGCCGATGAGCGGAGAGCACGCAATATGGACATAACGGATTGCGAACCGTTGCTGTACAGATGCAGCCCCAGGAACGTTCCTTCCCAAAGGCTGCAACATCAGTCTTTGACGCAGGCAGTCTCCACGACACGCAACGGTCACCATCATCAAACGAACAGTCTGTTAGCAGGGCATTGCCAGCCTCGATCTCCCTGGTCAGGAAGAAGGAGCCTGCGAAGATCACGGCCTGCGAATTCACGGGCCCGCCAGCGGCCAGCGGATCCCGACCTGGGAGCTTCAAGCTCGCCACTTTCGTGAGATCGAGGGCCGCGCTTTGCCTGCCAGGGCCGCGGCTGCAGTGGCGCTCCAGGGGAACCCAGACGCAATGTGTTCGTCTTTCGCCCTGCTCGCGTACTTCGCGGCAGACCGGTAGTTACCCTGCTTCAACAAAGACATGACAGCCGAAATCATTATAGGGCTCAGCGGAAGAGCTGGGACACACGTGCCTTCAGCAAGCGAGTGCCTCCGATTCAAACCAAGCCTCGTGAAGGCGCACCCACGTGCGCCACAATGACATTCGCGGGGCAATCGAGGTCATGGCGAATTCGTCAGCTTCGAGCTCTGAGAGCGCTCTCTGGCGAGATGCCGGCTCCGCGGCTGCCGCAAGGGCAACAGTCGCGGAGCCTCTCTTGCAGCCGCGGGAGACATTTGCATCTCCGCGCCGCACCTACACAGAAACTGACAAAGCAACTACACCGACAAGACGCGTGCAACCCGAGGACGGCAACGAGGCCACCGCTGCCGGCACTGCTGCCAGTGGAGATTCTCTCACGCCGGCCGTCGAGCCGACAGTCGGGCCGGAGGCCGCGGCGGCAGGGCTGCCAGACGATGCCGATACCCCGCTGCGGCGCGCATGTAACGGCACCAGAATGGAGGCCCAGCCAGCAGCCTCCAAGGCCGAAACCAACTCGTCCACCTCCAGCCGCGAGCACAACCCTGGAGCGCCAGCCCGGACCACAGCGCGGCATGCTCGCTGATGGCCGCAGCTGGTCAGGTACGTGCAGCGTAAGCCAAGATGCTATCGATATCGATAGTCGCAGGACCGCAGTACCTGCCGGCGGAAGGCAGATGAGATGCAGGACCGCAGCACCTGCCAAGGGCAGAGACGCAGGACCGCGGCACCTGCAACACAGGTCTCCCAATCCTCGCACACCCGGCGGAAAGCGTGACAGCAGCACGAAGCCAACGCAAAGGAGGGGGGAGGAGACGCAGGACTACCTGCACAGAAAGCCTCCCAACCCCCTCGCGGTTCCGAAAATATGTTGCCGGAAGCGTCTCCGGGAACATAATTCCTGGGCGCGCCGCGCGGAATCGTTGCGACAGCAAGGTTGGATCACTTTAGGCATGCATCAAGAAAGACGACATGTCCACGCCGCCGCAGGCATGACCGGAACGACGCGGTGCATGCCAGAGGGAGGAGGTGGCGCGCAGGGCCGCGGTACCTGCAAAGCGCACCGACGCACCTCCGAGGAGCCCCCAAGTCCCCACGTCCCCAGCATACAAACGCGACCACGGGGGCCAATGACTGAAGAGGACGCGGGGAGGAAGGAGGGGCAAGAAGTGAGACAGAGAGAGAAGCACAACGATAAACAATATCGGTCGTCTGCTTTTCTCACTCGGTCAGAACGGTATCTGCTCTCAGGGGCGCCGTGGCAGACTACGCGGTCGCCATCACAGGCAATTCGAACCAATTGCTTTAAAACTGGTTCTAAAATCGATGCTAATCCGATGAGACGGCACGTTTACACAACAACGTGGCAACCTAAGCGGTCGCTGTCGGCCTGGGCAGTAACTTTGTCACATGTGTCTTGGTACCACTGCAAACACATCACAAACAACTGTTACTGCCTGGCTGGGGCGCGGTACCAGGATGTCGCGCGAACCGGAAGTGGTGTCTCAACCGCGCCGTCGAGGCGAATCGGCACGCGCCAAGAATATCCTGCTTGATACCTCCTGCTTAGTCTGTCGGCCAACGTGTTTGCGACCCCCGGAACGTGCGAGAGTTCCTCGGGGGGTAAAGCAGCATCCCCCAAGTCGAGCGCAAGCTCCTTGGCGAGATGATTTAATGCTGGGCTCGGCGCCCGGAGTTTCGACGGCATTGCGAGGGCAGCGACATTGTCGCTCTCGACAGCGAAGCTGGAACGCACTTGACACCAGTACTGTTTCCAAAGACGCATGCATGAAAGTATTGTCACACCCTCTAATATCTGCTGCGACTCGGCCGAACCGACGACGATGCCCAGCAGCTGGACGTCTTCTTCGGAGACGGGGGCCACAAAATAGGCGACAAAGGCTGCATCTAACATCAGCCACCCGCCCAGGCCCCACGGAGAAGCGTCGAAACCCACGCGCACGGCTGGCCCGCGGCGAGTGCATGCCTCAACCAAAAAACGGCGAACAATGGATCCCCTTTCTTGCCGAAGGAACACAAGGAACCACTCAAATTGCGCCCGCACTTGCTGCGTCCACGCGCAACCGGGACGCGCGCGCGATGAAAAATCGGCACTGGTAGCGAGCATTGCGTTCCACAGGTCACGGAGGAAAGGCCCCCATACCACAAGAACCATTGCTAAGCTTTCAGCCTTCCCTGATAATTCACGGAGGTGCTTGAGCGATGCGACATTGGACGTAAGAAAACCCTCCAGGAGGCCACAAAGTCCAGCTACCTTTTCGCTTGCGATCTCAACTGTGACCCGGGCTGGGCCAAGGGGCAGCTCTACGCCGATCCAAACGATCGCTGTGCCAAGCATCGCCTTCCTGAAAGCAATGCCGAAACCGAGCAGCCTCCAAGCTAGCACGGTTGCGCACAGCATCAAGCGACGCTTCACTGGAGATCCTGCCGCGGTCAGGATAGGGCCGTCGACGTTCGTCTGCAAGCGGAGAGCGGCCCTGAATTTCCCGAAAAACTTCGGGGAAGAGGGGCCCGCGAACAAGGCTTGCGACAGCCTTGCCAACAACGCCGCCACCGACGTCCACGCGCACGGGCCGTCTCGGCCCCCGTGCGCCGCCCGGCAGTACCAATAGTACACGCCGCGAACTTTGGCGACGAAAACGGCGCTCCTCGACGGCTAGCGGCACGTTCCAGAAAGCGTCGTCGAAGTCAACGACAAGCCATTCGACGCCGAACTGGCTGTCCCCCTCGCGGCGGCAAAGCACCTCCAAAGCGTCCTGGACAGCGCCCATGATGCCAGGCAGAGGCGCCCTGCGAGTCCTTGCCGTGGAGGCGATGACGCTGGAAGCCTTCAGGTTGATGACCAGACGCCTCTTAGCCCCCCCCTCCTTGACCTTGGCGAGGAGAAGAGACTTGGACAGCGCAGGGGCGCCGCCGAGCTTTTCGCGGCACCCCTCCAAGGTTGCCGCGGACGCCAGCCACCCACGAGAAGCATAAGCTGCATAAGATTTGATCTCCTCAACGGCCCCCTCGCCCAGGCGCGCGAATTCACCGTCTGAGGAGTCGCCGACGGCATCGAAGACCAAATTGCCAATCGGACAAGGCGGCGCGTTGTCCGAGGCAAGGGGGGACACGCCGTCTTCTGGCGGCGACTTCACGATGCCAGCCGAAGCCCCCGCGATGAACCACTCTGCGACGCCTGAGCCTGGGTCGCCCGCGCGAGCAGCCCATGCCCCGAGCATGTCTGCGCGGCAATCGCTCGAGCGCGCCTCTGTCCAGGCAGGGCTCCACGACGACGCGCCCAGGAGCGCGGCGAAGGCGGGGCGGTGGGCGTCCAGCTCTGCCTCCGCGGGCGCGGCGCCGTCGCCGCTTTGGCGGGGGCAGCCCGCGCGGCGATCGGGAATGCCCGCGCTTCGGCCGACGCCATCTCGAAGCCTGGGGCTTTGCACAGGGGGCGCAATGGCCCGCGAACGCCGCCGACCGCATTGGCCTCCTGCGCCAAGAGAGCGGCCCTGGCGCCGGGCTCGCGCTGGCGAAGAGGCAGCGCGAAGGACACCTGGGCATCGGACAGATCTACCCCGTCAACTTCGCCAGCGGCCGGCCTGGCCAACTTGTTGCAGGAGCGGCCCGATCGCACCAGCGCAGCCTCAGCCTCTGGCGCCGCCAGCCTGTTCCTCGCGGCGGCTTGCAGAAGCCGCCCCGCGAGGGGGGGATGCGCCGCTGCTGGCCCTGCGGCAGCGCCGGCGAGATCAGCGCACAAATGCGCGATCTCGACCGGCCGCGCAGCGTCGGCGCCGACGGCGCCCCAGACGCGAGGCGAGGCAACGACGCCCGGCGAGTCCACAATCGCCTGCCACTCAGGGAGCTCGAGGACAGAAGATGGGCGACCAGGCAGCGCTGTCTCGCCGCGGACACGCTCGGCCACCTCTGGCGAGAGACGGCGGAAGCCATAGATGTCTGGAGGCGCCTCGCCGCGGAAAGCAGGGCCGCCGTCGCGACAACCGTCGAGAATTGCAGGCGGGGGGGCCAGCGCGCAACCGCGGGGTTCGAGCGCGCCAATCCCGGCGTCCAACTCGCGCCACACGTTCTGCGCCAGGAGCTCGCTCGCCTCGCCGCCGTCGGTGTCGTAGACAGCCGTCTGCGCACCCACCTTGCGGAGGTGCACGGCTATGCCAAGAAGTCCCCACCGCGTTTCCGGCTCGGCGAGAACGACGTGGATGGGGATCTTCTGGCGGCCCCCGCCGGCCGACGGATCTAACGGCGCTGGCGCTGCAAGGGCCCTCGCCTCCTGGCTGCGCAGCGATGCGTGTCCTGAGTTATCAACCGCGGCCGGCGCTGTAGACAGCGCGCCCGATGGAATCACGCATCCAGGACACGCGTTCGCCCCTGCCTGGGGGCCGCGCCCGAGCGGCGCTGCCAGGCTCAGCGCCGCGAGGGCACCGACCGCTCACCGGCGGTCGCCGCCCTTCCCCTTCGACGCTCCCTTGGTCGACTTGGGGGCTGCGGCGACTTGGCGCATGGCTGAGAGTGGGCCGACCCGTGGCCGGTGCCCCAGCAATGCTCGCACTGGCGGACCCCGCCCGTACCCCAGGGGCACATCTTGTTCCGGCGGGTCTGCCCGCACTGGCCTGTCTGGAATGCCTGGCAGAGTCTGACGCCACTGCGGTTGGCGGCGAACTTGCCGTTCTGGACATGGTGGACGAGCTCGCCCTGCGCGTTGCAACGCGGCTTCTTGGGTGGAGGAGGTGGCGCACCAGCGCTGCTGGGAGGCCCTCGCTTCGGGGCCGGCTCCTGGGAAGGGCCGCGAGCGCCAGCCGACGAATGACCGACGCCCCTGGCTGCTCTGGCACCGGTGCCTAGCATGCTTGCCAGTGACGCCGTCTTGGCCAGAACAAGCAGCGCTGGGTCTTCGAACTCATACCTCCAGAAAGCCGCATCGTCAGCAGCCATCTTCCGGACTAAGTTCCACGGCCGATCGGGGTCGCACGGGTGGTCCTTGCCACGCTGCTTGGCTTCTTCGTAGTCGTCCCTCACCTGCATGTGGAGCCTTTCCAGTAGCTCGAGGCGGCACCGGCATTCTGCCTGATAAGCGATGTGCCACACCTCCGGGCCCCGCTGCTGGCAACGACGAAAGAAGTTAGCGCGGCAATTCAGAAGAATACCGAGATCGACCGCCCCGAACTGAATGAGGCCCGAGCGGAGAAGACTGTCCCGAAAAGCTCCACCATGGACCACGTGCCGTCTGGGTTGAAAGTCTTGCCCGCGAGCTTCACCTGCTCGAGGATACGGTTGCCCTGTGGCCCCCAGACAGCGAAATCTGCGTAGGGGACCCGTCCGCTCCGCAGGACAGAATCCAAGGCCGCCAGCTATTCCTGGGTGAGCTCTTCTAGCGGCGGGGGCTTGACTTTGTAGGCGATCTTGTAGTTCGCGGTGCACGCCAAGATCCGGGCGCGGTCCAACAGGGGTTTCGCGACCTCCAGCGGGGGGCCAATCACCTCCTTGAGGACTGCCTTAGTCTATCCAGTTTCCTGCTCCTCCGTGATGTTCTTGGCGTGCGCCTCAAGAGTAGGGAGAAGCGCCGTTATGCTGTCGCAGGCGCGATTTCGCCTTCACGTTGCCGTCGGCCTGCGACTGGGCCTCAACCTGAGGCTGCTGCACGCACGCGGCGATCCTGCAGGCGGCGCCGACAGCGGCCGCCGCCGCCCGCACTGCTGGATTTGCAGGGACACTCCCCTCGCCACTGCTGATAGACCAATATTTCACAAGATCGTCGAAAGCAGCCTGGGAGATACGAGCAACGCGGACGACTGGGTGATCCGCAGATACGCCCAAACGGTCGAACAAACTGCCCCGCGGCATCTTCGCGTTGCCGTCGTCACCGTCGAGGCCCGCCCATTCTGCGACGCCCCGGAGCACCTTGAAGCCGGCAAGCTCCTGCGGGCTAGGCTCCATGACAAGCGAATCGGCTTCGGTTCAAGATACAACTAAGCCGTGCGTACCCCCCCTTGACTCACGCCCTTTTCGAGACCGTGCGGGGATGCCTAGAGCCACAATGGTCACGGATCCCGCGCGCGGTGCACTCTCTGTCACTCACACCCGCCCTGCCCCCCAAGCGCTCTGCCGCCTGCTGCCTGCTTTGTTAACTACACACGCGTGTTCTGACCCACAAAGGCCCCCAAGCACACTGCCAAACATGGCGCTGCAAACTTAAAATTGCACGACTCCGCATGCGGAGAAAAAAGCTGCCAGTCCGACCACCAACCCATGGTCTGCCTGACCGCCGCTGGGGGGGAAAGAAGAATTTGGCCTGCAGGCGAACGCGGAAAAAAACGAGCAACCCCATGACCAGGCTGGAGGACCATTGTGAGGAGCTCGGGCACTGCGGACAATACATGATCAACGCCTTCACCGTAGCCGAAACTGCACGTCGTCACTCCAGAGATGCGGGCAACACCAAGAAACGAGCATGCGAACAGGCCTACCAAACAATGAAATACCAGCATGACAGCATCCGGACGTCAAAAGCTGTTGCCGATCTGTGCTTGAGACCCTGAGGGTATCCCTGGAGCGCCAACAAGTGGCACGAGTGCCCTGGCTCTTGCACAAAGGAGCTGCGAAGGACTGGAGGCACGGCCCAGGGGGGCTGCCCTGGGAAGCCTGGACGGAGGGCGGGTCCCAAGGGGGGGTGGCCCAGGGGAGCTGGGGCTCAGGCTCAGGGGAAGGGCCGAGGGGGACGACCCACCACGAACCACGAACCACGACGAAAATAAGGATGTCCGCGGCCCAGGGGGGCTGTCCTGGGAAGCCTGGACGGAGCAAGCCTCCGAAGGGTGGGTGGCCCAGGGGAGCTGGGGCTCAGGCTCAGGGGAGGGGCCGAGCGGGACGAACCACCACGAACCACGAACCACGACGAAAATAAAGATGTCCGAGCTCTGGAGCACAGCTGTGCAAGAGAATAAAGGGTCCGGAGCGAGGGGAGCTGGGGCCAGGCCAGGGTGGCCGGAGCCAGGGGGGGGGCGAAGTGAGGGGGGCCGGGGCCAGGGCCAGCGGTGCCAGAGCCAAGGGGGGGGCGAGGGGAAGCTGGGGTCCAGGCCAGGGGAGGGGGGGGGGCGCGAGGACGACGACGAACCACGAACCGCGAACCACGAAAGTGTCCAGGGCGAGAGGGGGCTGAGGCCAGGGCCAAGGGGGCCAGAGCACGGGGCGAGCGGGGCTGAGGCCAGGGCCAGGGGGGCCAGAGCCAGAGGGGGGGGGTGAGGGGAAGCTGGGGCCAGGGCGAGGGGGGCTGAGGCCAAAGCCAAGGAGGCCAGAGCCAAGGGGGGGGCGAGGGGGGCCAGAGCGAAGGGGGGGCGAGGGGAAGCTGGGGCCCAGGCCAAGGGGACTGGAGCCAAGGGAGCGAGGGGAAGCTGGGGCCAGGGCCAGGGGGGCCAGAACCAAGGGGGGGTGGGCGAGGACGACGACGAACCACGAACCACGAACCACGAAAATAAAAGGTCCGGAGCGAGGGAGGCTGGGGCCAGGGCCAGGGTGGCCGGAGCCAGGGGGGGCGAGGCGAGGGGTGGGCTGAGGCCAGAGCCAAGGGGGCCAGAGCACGGGGCGAGGCGGGCTGAGGAGAGGGCCAGAGGGGCCAGAGCCAGGGGGCGAGGGGAAGCTGGGCCAAGGCGAGGGGGGCTGAAGCCAAGGCCAAGGAGGCCAGAGCCAAGGGGGGAGCCAAAGGAGCCAGAGCCAAGGGGGGAAGGGGGGGGAGGCGAGGACGACAACGGGGCGAGGGGTGTTGAGGCCAGGGCCAGGGGGGCGCGAGGGGGGCCAGAGCGAAGGCGGGGGCGCTGAGGCCAGGGCCAGCGGTGCCAGAGCCAAGGGGAGGGCGAGGGGAAGCTGGGGCCAGGGCCAGGGGAAGCCGAGGACGACGACGAACCACGAACCACGAACCACGAAAATGAAGATGTCCGAACTCTAGAGGACGACGACGGGGCGAGGGGTGCTGAGGCCAGGACCAGGGGGGCGCGAGGGGGGCCAGAGCGAAGGGGGGGCGCTGAGGCCAGGGCCAGGGGGGCCAGAGCCAAGGGGAGGGCGAGGGGAAGCTGGGGCCAGGGCCAGGGAAAGCCGAGGACGACGACGAACCACGAGCCACGAACCACGAAAATAAAAAGGTCCGAGCTCTAGAGCGCAACCGTGCAAGAGAATAAACGATCCTTTACCAGTAGACGACGATGGATAATGACTGAAAGAGCAAAACTTGCCTATGGTGTACTGGCGCCGGCTGATGCGAAGTAGCTTGGTTTCCCTCTGGCGTTCACACGATGGCAGCAGCCAGCCCGCCATCGGCGCCCAACCGGGCACACCGTTTGGTGGTTCAGTCCGGGAGCATTCGCAAAGGAATCGTGTGGCATCAGGCTGGAGCCAGTGGCACCTGCCACACTTGAGCACACGGCGCGCATGAGTTGTATTCATCTTCCTCCTCGTCTTCTTCCTCCTCACCATCATCACCAACACCACAACCACCATCTCAACCTTTGTCACCAACAACAGTATCATCATCATCACCACCATCACCACCACCACCATAACCAACGACGCAACCATCATCATCACCATCATCGTCATCACCAGCATCGTCATCATCAGCATTATCATCGTCGTCACTATCATCATAACCATCTTCATCATCAACGTCATCATCGTCGTCATCGTCATGGTCCTCGTCATCAACAGCATTACCATCGTCATCGTCATCGTCGTCGTCAGCAACATCACCATCGTCGTCACCGTCATCATCATCATCATCATCATCACCATCATCATCAAGGCCAACACCATCGTCATCGTCATCGTCGTCATCATCGTCATCATCGTCATCATCCCCGCAAGTATCACCTTCGTCACCCTTACCATCAGCATCATCAGCATCATCAGCAGCAGCAGTATCATCATCACCATCATCAGCATCATCATCATCATCCCCGCTCGCTCCGCTGCGTAGCAGTCGTCTCGGGGCCGCGCGCGGGACCGCGCGCGCGAGGCTAAAAGGGAGAGCCCCGACGCGCGCCTGCCCCGAGCAGCGCGCTCAGGAGGCGACCCTCGGGGGCGGCTCCCGGACGACCCGCAGGTCGTAGCAGCGCCGCAGGCTAGCCTTGGTAAGGAGGGAGAGGTGGGTGGGGGCCGAGAAGCTGCAGGACGCCTGCGGGGCGATCGCGGCGGGGATAAGAAGTAGCATCCCGGCTCGCTCCGCTGCGTAGCAGTCGTCTCGGGGCCGCGCGCGGGACCGCGCGCGCGAGGCTAGAGGGGAGAGCCCCGACGCGCGCCTGCCCCGAGCAGCGCACTCAGGAGGCGACCCTCAGGGGCGGCCCCCGGGCGACCCGCAGGTCGTAGCAGCCATGCCCATGCTCAAAGCCCTCGCGCAGTGACAAGTCTAGAGCGGGCGGCCGCGAGAACGAAAGGCCCGGCGGAAGGGCCCGCCGACAGGGATCGCGCGACCAGGTAGTCGCCAACGCTAGCGAAGTACTCAACCTGTTCCCGCGCGGGAGCAGGGAGGGAGGCAAGGACAGTAGAGGCGGCGGCGGCCTGCAGATATCGTTCGGCGCTGGAGGTTTGCCTCCAGCGGCCGCGCCAGAAGACGCGAGGGACGTCTTCGGTGGCAATATAAAAATCTGTAGCGCCTGAGCCTCGAAGGCGCGCGGGGGTCAAATTGAAACCCGCGGGGGCTTTACCCAGCGGGGCGCCTAACGCACTTAGTAGATGGTTCCACCGAGTACGGAAGCCGCTCTGGCCAAAGGTAGAGAGCGGATCGGTGGGCCCCAAATGCCGAAACACCAGCTCCATTATCTTCACTGTTGCTCTGTCCGAACAACGGGCGTGCTGAGTCGGATAGGTCCGACGGGTCTTCGGAGCAGGGATCGACAGGAATGCATCACCGTCGGCTTCCAGCCTGTCGCATGGAAGCGACAGATCGCAGCGCCGCGCATTGATGACCTCCCCAGGCCGCAGAAACATGGTGAAACCCATGAGCAGCAGGGCGGCCATGTCAGGTCAGCCCAACGCTAAGCACAACCCGACCATGGCCCGCAGAAGCGCTCTAGGGAGCGGCGGGCGGAGGCGCGGAGGCT